TGCTCTGAATGAGCAGCCTGGGAGAAGCAGATGGTCAGCGTGCAACACTGCAGCTGGTGCACCGCCTCAGCTCTAATGTGCAGGATTCATCTGTCTCCTCCTTCACCTTCTGTTGGGTCTGCTTACCTTTTTCTCTCTTCTTCCTGGTTCGGTCCAGGTGGTCTTTGAGCATGATGCGCACCTGTCTCTCATTAGCCAGGTCTCTGATGAAGGCGTGCCTCAGCAGAGCGTCCGTGGTTGGCCGATGCAGGTGGTTTTTGATCAGGCAGCTGTCAACGAATGATAAAAAACGCTTCGACCTGCAAACAGAGGGTCAAGCTGAGAAATCTGAGGGGTTTAACTAGTTTTTCTGTCTGATGTGGGAATGTTCGTGAGTCAAATAGGATCGTATGCAGTGAGTTGTTTTTGCCGTGTTTCACACACCACATGCAGGTCCTTCTCAAAAAATTAGCATATTGTGATCAAGTTCATTTTTCTCTGTAATGTACTGATAAACATTAGACTTTCATATATATTAGATTCATTACACACAACTGAAGTAGTTCAAGCCTTTTATTGTTTCTAATATTGATGATTTTGGCGTACAGCTCATGAAAACCCAAAATTTCTATCTAAAAAAATTAGCATATTTCATCCGACCAATAAAAGAAAAGTGTTTTTAATACAAAAAGTCAACCTTCAAATAATTATGTTCAGTTGTGCACTCAATACTTGGTCGGGAATCCTTTTGCAGAAAGACTGCTTCAGTGCGGCGTGGCATGGAGGCAATCAGCCTGTGGCACTGCTGAGGTGTTCTGGAGGCCCAGGATGCTTCGATAGCGGCCTTAAGCTCATCCAGAGTGTTGGGTCTTGTGTCTCTCAACTTTCTCTTCACAAAACCCCACAGATTCTCTACGGGGTTCAGGTCAGGAGAGTTGGCAGGAATTTTGAGCACAGTACTACCATGGTCAGTAAACCATCTACCAGTGGTTTTGGCACTGTGAGCAGGTGCCAGGTCGTGCTGAAAAATGAAATCTTCATCTCCATAAAGCTTTTCAGCAGATGGAAGCATGAAGTGCTCCAAAATCACCTGATAGCTAGCTGCATTGACCCTGCCCTTGATAAAACACAGTAGACCAACACCAGCAGCTGACATGGCACCCCAGACCATCACTGACTGTGGGTACTTGACACTGGACTTCAGGCATTTTGGCATTTCCCTCTGCCCAGTCTTCCTCCAGACTCTGGCACCTTGATTTCCGAATGACGTGCAGAATTTCCTTTCATCTGAAAAAAGTACTTTGGTCCACTGAGCAACAGTCCAGTGCTGCTTCTCTGTAGCCCAGGTCAGGCGCTTCTGCCGCTGTTCCTGGTTCAAAAGTGGCTTGACCTGGGGAATACGGCACCTTTAGCCCATTTCCAGCACACGCCTGTACACAGTGGCTCTGTATGTTTCTACTCCAGACTCAGTCCGCTGCTTCCGCAGGTCCCCTAGGTCTGGTATCGGTCCTTCTCCACAATCTCAGGGTCCGGTCACCTCTTCTCGTTGTGCAGCGTTTTCTGCCACACTTTTTCCTTCCCACAGACTTCCCACTGAGGTGCCTTGATACAGCACTCTGGGAACATCCTATTCGTTCAGAAATTTCTTTGTGTGTCTTACCCTCTTGCTTGAGGGTGTCAATGATGGCCTTCTGGACAGCAGTCAGGTCAGCAGTCTTACCCATGATTGGGGTTTTGAGTAATGAACCAGGATGGGAGTTTTTAAAAGCCTCAGGAATCTTTTGCAGGTGTTTAGAGTTAATTAGTTGATTCAGATGATTAGGTTAATAGCTCGTTTAGAGAACCTTTTCATGATATGCAAATTTTTGAGATAGGAATTTTGGGTTTTCATGAGCTGTATGCTAAAATCATCAATATTAGAAACAATTAAAGGCTTGAACTACTTCAGTTATGTGTAATGAATCTAATATATATGAAAGTCTCATGTTAATCAGTACATTACAGAGAATAATGAACTTCATCACAATATGCTAATTTTTTGAGAAGGACATGTACTGCAGGACCAGAGCAGGTATATCCAGGTATGTGGTCTGTCATGCCTTGAAAACTTTATTTAAAAATGAAGAGCAGAACATGCAGACATTTTGACCTAGTCAACATGCCTAGAGTTAGTAAAACAAAACACAAAAACCCCGTCAGTTGGACTTAATTTGCTCTGATTAGCACCTCATGTACTTCAATATGAACAATCCTGAAGTTAAAACTAAATTTTTTTCAAATAAATAAATTTGTGCTAATGTGCATCCAGAAGATGAATTACAAATATTGTGGGGAGCAGTCCATCTCACTCGCTGCCCCCAAACTCTGGAATACACTAGAGCTGAAACGATTCCTTGAGTACCTCGAATAATTCGAGTACAAAAAATCCTCGAGTCAAATTCTCTGCCTCGAGGATTCGTTTAATTCATATTTAATTAATTCATGGCTTTGCAATCGCCCGGGGTCATGTTTCACCCTGACCGAAATAAGTGACGCACATGCCCACTGGACTGAATGCACACGCGAGTAGCGAATATAACTTAACTTTCTCTTAACAACGTGGACCCCGGTGGAGTGCGAAAAAGACAGAAAATGTCAAAGGTGTGGGACCATTTTTCACGTCGTAAGGCGGAAAACGTAGTCCAGTATAAATACTGTAAAATGGATTTAGCCTAGCACAACACCACATCCTCCATGCTGCAGCACATGTAAATGTCACTTCTGCAAGCGGACTCGGAGCCTCTACAAGATAATGCTTTTTAGCCTGTATTTCTATATATTCTGCGGACACTGCGACTTTTTCGTTTGTAGCACTCAGTTTCAGCTCACACCGTACATCTGGTAACAACACGTCGGACTTAAAATGTGCTAAAAAATAGCAGTTTTTACACAATATGTCGGACTTTTTATTGTGTTATTGATGTCTTTTGTCCCTCGGGGTTTCTGCAGGAGGACACGGGTATTTATGAGAGTGGCGGAGGAAAACGAAAGAAAGTAAATACATGTTTTGTGATCAGTATAATTTGACAAAACCACAGCAAACATGCTTTTGGCAATCCTTGTTAGTGTGAGAAAAAAAAAGTGTAGAAATTAAAACGGACGTGTGTTAATAGGGAAACAGCCGGCGAGCTGTTTGCGCCGTGAGCGGTTCTTGTTCTGTTTGGGCCGCAGCCGCTCGCAGCGTTATCCTCCTAGTTTTTGTCTGGCTTGCAGGCTAGCAGATTCTCGCACGAGGGGAAAATCGGCTCAGGTTGTTTACTTATTTTTTGCACACGCATTTGTTTACTGTGAAGTAAAGTTGAAGTGCTGAAGTTATGCAAACTAATTTTGAATAAAACTTGAAGAATAACTGGCAATTGCTTGCTCATTTTAAGAGGTCTTTCATAATTATAACATGCTATTTGATATCAAATCACTTTTATTGTCACGTCACATGTGCAGGTACACTGGTACAGTACATGCGAGTGAAATTCTTGTGTGCGAGCTTCACAGCAACAGAGTTGTGCAAAAATACAGTAATGTAAAAACAAGTAAAGTATAAAAATGGCTAATCTAAGTATACAAATGAATAAAGTAAACAATAAGATAAGAGATATAAAATGTACAGAGGTTGGTATGTGCAAAACAGTGGCATTAATGTACAGTATGGAGCGTGTAATGTTGGAACTTGGTGGAGCTCGCGACGAGGCAGCCATACTCGGCGCCATCTTGGCTCATCAATATATGATATAATGGTTTACAAACACAAAAGGGTAATTTATTAGAGTACTCGATTAATCGAAAAAAAGATTCGATAGAGTACTCGATTACAAAAATATTCGATAGCTGCAGCCCTAGAATACACCCCCCTCCATGTCCGACAGGCCCCGTCACTAGGTAGGTACAAGTCAGTGCTGAAGGCATATCTTTATCACTTAACTAATGGTCAGTGCCCTGGCATCTTTTAGACTGGTTGTTTTATTCTGTGATGTTACCCCTGCTCATATTTTCTACGGCGTTTCACATTTAATTTGTTGTTTTTGTCCTTCCACACAGGTTTTCTACACTGAACAAAAATATAAATGCCACACTTTTGTTTAGCTCCCATTTTTCATGAGCTGAACTCAAACATCTGAAAAATGTGTCTACATGCACAAAACACCCATGACTCTCAAACATTGTTCTGAAATCTGTCTACATGTGTGTTAGTGAGCACTTTTCCTTTACCAAGATAATCCATCCCACCTCACAGGTGTGGCATATCAAGGGGCTGATTAGACAGCATGAATAATGTACAGGTGTGCCTTAGACTGCCCACAATAAAAGGCCACCATGACATGTGCACGGTTTTGCTTTATGGGGGATGATGAGGCAGAAAACCAGTGAGTATCCAGTGTGGCCACCATTTGCCTCACGCAGGCCAACACATCTCCGTCGCATAGAGCTGATCAGGTTGTTGATTGTGGCCTGTTGAATGTTGGTCCACTCCTCTTCAATGGCTGTGTGAAGTTGCTGAATATTGGCAGGAAGTGGAACACGCTGTTGTATACGCCGATCCAGAGCATCCCAAACAAGCTGAATGGGTGACATGTCTGGTGAGTATGCTGGCCATGCAAGAACTGGGATGTTTTCAGCTTTCAGGAATTGTGTCCAGATCCTAGCAATATGGGGCCATGCGTGATCATGCTGCAACATGAGGTGATGGTCGTGGATGAGTGCCACAACAATGGGCCTCAGGATCTCATCACGATACCTCTGTGCATTCAAAATGCCATCAATAAAATGCACCTGTGTTCGTTGTCCATAACACATGCCTGCCCATCTCAGTACCCCACCGCCACCATGAGCCACTCGTTCCACAACGTTGACATCAGCAAACTGCTCACCCACACATGCAGTCGGCCATCTAACCAAAACAGTAAAAAGCGGGACTCATCTGAGAACAGAATGCCTCTCCCAACATGTCAAACGTCATCGAATGTGTTTGCCCACTCAAATTGGTTACGACCAGTGCTGGACTGACCATAGGGCATAGCGGGCAACTGCCCGCTGGGCCGACCCTTTCATCTTTTATGGGCCGGTGTCTGTTTTTTTTTTTTTTCCTGGCCTCTAGTTGTTGCGGACAACTTGTCCACGCCGCCCCACGCGACGCCTCGTAAAAGTTGGTGGATTGGCCAATTGGTAATAATACACTCTGGGCTGGACCAATAGCCAGAGGTCTGATGCACCCGCCAGTTGTTTGTGAATCTCAGTAAACAGACAGACGAGCTTTACAAAATGGAGAACAAAAAACGGAAAGCAGGAGCGGAGAAAATTCGACTAAAAAAGAAACTGGCCCTTCAGGCTGATGCTGGCACATGTGTTAAAATCTCACAGTTGTTTGGTAGTGAAGGTTCAAGTAAAATCAATTTAGGAAGTGATGGAGCCTCAGCCCAGCGACAGGTTGGAGAAGAAAAGAGGGAGGAGGAGGAGAAACCCGAGCCGGTGTTGTGCCATAAATTGACTCGCTGCCAAAAAATGATTAGCCACCGCGGGATCGCGCACGGTGAGGTAATTGCATTTCTAGACAAAATTCCCCAGGATTTCGCCCTAAAACTCAGCATATCTAGCAATATGGACATTCAGAAAGCAAAGACAACCTCTTCCGGTACTTAAACAGATGTTTATCGCGGATATTAGTGTGGCAGTGTTTGTGGCACCCTGCGCGGGAGCACGAGGACGTGCTTGTGGAAAGAGGGAGGAAGATGTGGCAGTGTGAGCATCCACAATGTCCCGATTGATCATGCGCCCTGGCTGCTTGGTCAAGGAGATGTCCCTTTGGCTGACTGGTTAGAGCGTATGACTCTCACCCGGGAGTCTGTGGATCGAATCCCGCCCGGGCACTCGTTTCTGCACCTTGCCACATTAGTTTTTCCAGTTCGGAAGTTGTTTTAAGTGTTGCTATTTGTCTTAAACGTTCACAATGAGGATATATTAATCCTTTTTGCAATATTTGCGATTGAAAGATGGTTTGTGCCACAAACTTTGTGGTAAGAACTGGCTTTCTTTATGTTACAGCCTTGATACTAAAAAAATAAATAAACAATGTAAAATGGCACCCTGTATTGAATGTAAACGTTGTATAAATGGAAATAAACAATTCTCCAGCGATTTAATTTTTTCCCCTTCCTTTCTTTAGTCCACTTGACATGGAGCCACAGTTAACTAGTTTGGGGCACATTTTTACTTGAAAAAAAGTATTTAAACTGATCAAGCTTTGGCTTTACAATGACACTGTGTAAGTTGCTATACATTACGTTGCTCTATTTAAAAGTAACAAGATAAAAGCACTTCAGCACATAAAATTAAGATTGTCACTTGCCAAATAGACTACACCCTCCCGTTTACCTATAAGAAACGCCTCAAAATATCTTTAAATTCTTTATTGATGATTTAATTGTAGACAACTAAAATGGCATTTTACTTGCCAAAAAGTGATTGAATCGCTAAGATTTTCATGGAGGCTAAAATTGACCAAATAAGGGTTTTATGTATTATCTGTTGATGTTACTGTACTCATACTGCCTACTGTGTCATCAAAAACACCCCAAAAATGGTAAAAAAAAGAAGATAATTTCCATTGCCAAAAATTGATTACAGTGTCCTGGTCACCTGTAAAGGGTTACATTTACCTAAATATTACTTTATTTATTATCTCTTGATGTTATTAGTGCCATCACAGGATGCTGGGTGTCTTTCACATTCATAAACACCTCAAAAATGGCAACAAATGATCATTTCCCTTGCCAAAAATTGATCACAGAGTCCTGGTCACCCATAAAGGCTTAAATTGGCATAAATATTACTTCATTTATTATGATGCTGGGTGTGTTCCACAATCATATTCGAATAAACATGAAAATATTCTGTCCGAATATCTGTTTCTTGTTATAAATATAACAGCTAGAAGGATTTACAGTTAAATTAGGAGAAACACGTGACTCCCCAGGAAGGGTCGTAACACCACTTGCCTCATGCACATAAGTGAACAAAACAAAGCAGCATGGAGACACTCCGTCTCCAACCACCTCTCAGGCAGCAGCCTGCACTCCCAAGTTCTACACGTCACCAGAACATAAACAACCGCAACACAATAAAAGCAGTGTTATACAAAATGGAAGGCCTGTAGTGTTTATTCTCTTACAGTAACAACTTATCAATTTTTTGGAGGAATTTATTTGAGAATTTTTTGGTTTTTAGTAATTGTGCAATAGAAAAGTAATCGCTAGATTAATCATCTAAATAGTCATTAGAATAATCGACTATTCGATAAAATAATCATCAGAATAATCATTTTAAAAATAATCAGTTACCCCCAACCCTACTTTTTAGAATACCAGGATAGGAAGGATGGTGTAGGTTTACGTTTATTAGATTGATACATAAATACTACCAATAAGAAAGTGTACGTTGGTGTGTGTCAGAAACAGCGTAAGGCTTAATGTCTTTTCCAAAAAAAAACAGGTGATGGGCCGGTCTCCAGTCAAAATGCCCGGGCTGAATTTTTGTCCCAGTCCAGCCCTGGTTACGACGACGGATTGCAGTCAGGTCCAGACCCTGATGAGGACAACAACATGCAGACGAGCTTCCCTGAGACGGTTTCTGACAGTTTGTGCAGAAATTCTCTGGTTATGCAAACTGATTGTTGCTGCGGCTGTCAGGGTGGTTGATCTCAGGCGATCTTGGAGGTGAACATGCTGGATGTGAAGGTCCTGGGCTGGTGTGGTCACACGTGGTCTGATGTTGTGAGGTTGGTTGGATGTACTGCCAAATTCTCTGAAACACCTTTGGAGACGGCTTATGGTGGAGAATGAACATTCATTTCACGGGCAACAGCTCTGGTAGATTGCTGCTGTCAGCATGCCAACTGCACGCTCCCTCAAAGGGTGTGCCATCTGTGGCATTGTGCTGTTTGATCAAACTGCACATTTCAGTGTGGCCTTTTATTGTGGGCAATCTAAGGCACACCTGCACATTATTCATGCTGTCTAATCAGCCCCTTGATATGCCACACCTGTGAGGTGGGATGGATTATCTTGGTAAAGGAAAAGTGCTCACTAACACACACATGTAAATAGATTTCAGATCAACATTTGAGAGTCATGAGTGTTTTGTGTATGTGGACAAAGTTTCAGATGTTTGAGTTCAGCTCATGAAAACTGGGAGCAAAAACAAAAGTGTTGCATTTATATGTTTGTTCAGTGTAGTTTTGCTTCTTTGTGAAATCAGAATGTTTAACCCTCCCACTGTCCTGATGGGTGTGACCCCGCAAGAAAAGTTGACCATTGAGCAGGATTGATGGTTTATCCCTTGAGGTCCACGTGGCAGGGGTGAGGTGGTGCTCACTCCTCACCCCTGCCACATGGACCTCAAGGGATAAACCATCAATCCTGCTCAATGGTCAACTTTTCTTGCAGGGTCACACCCATGAAGACAGTGGAGGGTTAAAACTGAAGAATCTCAGCATTAAGGCAACATTGGAAAAAACCAACTTAGTAATAATCCACAGAACAACATAAAAAGTTCCTAACACACTATGACACGTTACAGCCTCCACTAGATGACACCTGTCTGGTGACTCACCTAGCGCGTTGAGCCAATCACCTCCTGCAGCAAAGACAACGACGATCCTGCCTCACATGTAGCTGATACTGAAGTTTTAAGGCAAACAACCAACAGCATGAAGAAACAGAAGGACAATGTAACGCTGCTGTGCCATTCTGCTGTCTCAGGGAGGCCCGGAGGTAAAACGATGGGAAAGTGCAGCACGTCAGACCCATCAGCTATTAAAAGCTGTTTCTGATGACATTAATACTGAATGAAAGACAGAAGTCAGGGCCAAGCCAGAGTTCATTCTGAAGAGCCCATTTTTCATGCATGGATGAGAAGGAAGTGAGAGAAGAATGAATATGACAAAAGAGGCCGACCATCAAAGCTTAACGGAGATTCAAAAGGACTGCAGCGACACGCGAGGTCACGGCGTTGAGCAGGAGACCACTGACCTCAGATTTTATCTCAGTACGTCTACACGAGCTTACAGGTTATCACATAAAAAATAAAGAGCTGAAGTCTTTTATCTGGTTGTCAGAAGCATGAAAGCCACTACAAAAGTCAGCAGAAAGCCTTGTTTTCAGGAGAGCTAAACCAGTCGTCTACATCCTGGTGTGTGTGTGTGTGTGTGTGTGTGTGTGTGTGTGTTTACATGCTCACCATTTCTTTGACTTCAGCCGTGGTGGAGGGTTTCGAGGAATCAAAAACAGCGCTCTCATTGGATGCATGTCACAGAGAGCTGCAGGAACCCCCAGAGATAACGAGTCATGGTTCAGGAAGGAGAAATGATGAGAACAAATTCAATTCAGTTTCTGTGTAAAGCACCAAAGCACAAGTCGTCTCAAGGCACTTTGCAATTTAAACAATCCACCTGAACCTACTTATCACTGCAGTGAGCTCAGTTCGTTATGCCCATCAGTTAAACGTTTTCTACGTAAGGAAATCCAGCAGATCGAGTCACTGACTTGTGTCAGTGACTTTAGAGCAATCCTCATACTAAGCAAGCGTTTAGCGACAGTGGAGAGGAAAACCTCCAGCAGAACCTGGATCAGTGTGAGTATCAGACAACAGGAGTCTTATTTCCTGATATTTGGACATCTCTCGTCTCATTGGCTAACAGCAACATGACTTTACCACTGACTCTATTTGTAGCACTGATGTTTTATCTCCACAAATAACACAAGCCTGGCCTTCAACCCTTTCCTGTCCTCTTTGTCATTGTGTTAACACACGCCTGTATGCTCCAGACCTGCAAACTGACTAAACTCCTGCTATTAAAGAGGAGCTCGAGCCGATGAAGATCAGTTAACCAGCAGAACCCATTGGTTTGTGACCTCTAACTTCAGTGAAAGGAGAAACGTAATACGGTCCTGCATTCGCACTTTCACATTCCCGTACTCAGGTAAATCCTAGAACTAAACAAGGTTGTCCGAACATCTTATGATGACCGAATGTTTAACTAGACACATGAAGGTGCTCTGAAAATGTAGATGTGATTCTAACTTACGGGGGGCTCCATCGGCCATCTCTAAAGCGGTGATGCCCAAAGACCAGAGGTCACTCTAAACAATATAAGAAACGGGAAGCAAGTTAAAACTCTGACACACACACGTACGCACGCGCACACGCACACACACAGACACACACACACACAACTTAGCTTGACTTTTGAACTCCTTTCTTGTGTAAACCTTTGAAAAAGCTTCAAGACTTACAGAAACTTTACAACTTGAGGCCAGATTTAGTGCAAATAGAATACCCTATAGTCGTATGTTGCCTCAGGGTTCTCATCACAGGCGATGACCTCTGGAGCCATCCAATATGGCGTACCGATGAAAGTGTTCCTTCGACCGATCGTCTTATCCAGCTGAGCCGAGACGCCAAAGTCGACTAGAAAACACAAACAAGAGATAACACCATGTCTGAAAACACCAGCAGCCTTTGTTTTTGTGGTTGTGTGATGTTTGTGGGGGTGGTAGAGGAAGCCTCTACATGAATCAGTGCGTCTTACCCAGTTTGACCTCAGCGTTCTCTGTGAGTAAAACATTTTGTCCCTTAATGTCCCGGTGGATCACATGGTGGGAGTGAAGATGGGAAAGACCCTGGAAGACAAATATACACACAGTGAGTCCCCCCCCCCACCCATACACAGAGGGTCAGATGATAATACTACAAGAGAAAGAGTCACTGCTCTGGACGGAGGAGACGGGTCACGAGGACGACTCTGTACAGGAGTTTATGTTGAGTTAGTCGGGTTTTAGCCTCCAGGGACAATCGGAGACATTCTTACATATTAGTCTCTTTTCCACAACATGAAAACATGCAGAGCTGATGGCCGTCTGTGCTAGTCTTTAGTTAAAACCATAGGATGGATCACAAGCAGCCCGTCTTTAGACAGGGTTCACTTGTGAATCTGTGGAGCTTAAAATTCAGCTGGAGAAACAATCAGGAACATAAAAAGGTCTAATTTTACTTCAGAATACAAAACAACTGCAGCTAAAAGCAAAGCGAATCAGTTTGTAGTTAATATTTCTGAGGTTCACTGAATGCAGCATGATGATAGCATCAGAAGCTGGATGTTTTCTGCTTTCAACCTTCCTTTCCCCCTTTAATATGCCCAGTTGGTCCTGGCAGAAGGCCGGTTCTGGTTCTGCTGGTTGTTTCTTCAATTAAGTCTGATGATTCTTATATCTAAAACAAATCTGACTAATTATCTAACATCATTACAGCTGAACTGAAACTACATCTGGACTTTGGAGCTTTGAGACAACTTAGGCTGTGACCTGGTTCTACTGAAGCTGCATAAATAGACTAAATAAATACATAAACCCTGTTCTGACTGATGAGATGTTCTCAAACTCATGTGGCGTCACACACACGGCCCACCATTAGAGTCACTCAGGAGAAAAACTAAGAAAAGATGTTCTGATTAATGTTGAAATGTAATAAAAATGTTTTAGTTACATAAAACAACTCAAAAGTTGAGGATAAAAAAAATACCTACGATACCCATAATGCCTTGTGTAAATGACCTGTGATGACTTCACTTCAGTAGGTTTTAATTAAAATAACATCCAGACACCATACTCTATCAGGGTTCTGTTGGTTTGGGCTGCAGCACCAGTTTTATATTATTTTTAAACCCTCAGACGTGTGTTTGCTTCAGACTCTTATTTTGAAGGAGTGAAGGAACTTCATTGACATTCAATGGCACCTTGAGCTGAAGAAATGCCTTGTTTTTGTGTTTATTTTTAGTTTACTCAGTACAATAATAACAAAAACCCACATAGATGATGTTGGATTTGGGAGCACAAGGGGTTATTGTTTCTTCTGAAACGTTTTTCTCAACATTCAACATGAATCTCGACAAGTCAAAAGTCATTTTCAAACTGAGTGGAGGGTTTGTGTTGAGTTTTTGAGCGGGCAGGGACTTCAGACACCTAAACTTTCACCCTCAAACAAAAACAAGGTGCAACTTTTCCAAACAGCTCCCTTTACTTGTTGAAGTGTGGCAGTGGAAACGGCACCAATGCTTCTACACAGGAGGTGAGACACAAAGAGGAAGTGGGTCTTTGTTCAGACACTGACTCCGTGTGTCTAAAGAGTTAAGTTGTGAGACAGCAGCAAACAGGCCTTTGTCTCTTGGGCTTTTATTAATACAAAACTGCTGAGTCATCGTCGGTGAGAAACATATTCAGACCCCGCTCATGAACTGCCTGCTTTGTTAGTGGAGTCACAAACTCAGAGCAACAGCAACACACATTTTTCTGTGCTCTTTCTCATGGCCTTGTGACCCCTCACCATGATGGCCACATCCTAAAGAGTGCCTTCACTCTCTTTTAGTACTTTTTAAAGAACCAACTCACTGAGAAACCATTTTTTACTTGTTCGTTCTGAAAAACGATCGGCCACTCTGAATGTGCCACGCAGGCTGAATGTGAAAATTAGCCGCAGATAGAAATTAGACGGGGAAACATTCAGATTAGAAAGCCTGGCAGATCTACGTCCCGCTGTAAATGAACATTCATGGACTCACCCGCGGGGAAGGCTGTTGTTGGGTTATTGTCCAGGAAACAGCTGAGCACATCTCGTCTAGTAGAAGCTAACTGTTAGCATTAGCAAATCAATCACACAGCAGAACTCCTCCAGGCTTGTGTTATTTGTGGAGATAAAACATCAACGTTGCCGAGAAGAGTCAGAGTATTGTTGCTGTTAGCCAATCAGAGGTGAGATGTCCGAAAATCAGGAAATAATGAGTAAAACCTGCTGTGTCCTGCTGCCCTCTGATGCAGCTAACCTCTAGTTCCTGAAACCGGAGCGCCAGAGCTTTTTATCCCACAGAGGTGGACTTACAAGTCATTCTTATATACTAGAGAACACTGCAGATTTACAGGAAAAAAAACGACTGAATTTGGTCTTTAATCCTAGAGTTTTCCATAGATTTCTATGATAAATGTGGTTATTGTCTGTTTATACGTGTAAAATGCTCTATAGAAACACCTGCAGACAGAAACATTCGGTGTGTTAGCTGCAGCAGAAACATGACCTTCTACACTAAACAGATGGAGCCGTTGCCCAGTGGTCTGGCGCTAAAAACACACACCTGCTTCAGTTTGTACATGAGATATAATGTTCTGGGTCTTTTTTATTTTACCACTTTGACCTAACTTTGAACACCTTCATGCTTCACTCACAAGAAGGTGGTCATGCAGTTCTAGAACATGCCACCAGCTAACAGCTTGTTGCAATAGCTGTTATGCTACCAACAATCTTTATGTAGGGAAATGTTCTGCTTCATGTTTTTATTTCAAGACATTAATCTTTTACTGAAAACTTATCTTCTGAGCTGGATGCTGATTTTTAGTAATTAAACAAACTGACTCACGCCTTTGTAACGTGAGGAAGTATGGGTTTCTGTGCCAAAGGTCGTATTTGCCCGGCTGGGTCAAAGCTGGGTCACGCAGCACCTTCACCCACAGATTAAGACCTTTGCTGCCAGCAAGTCTGAAGGACTCCACAACATCCAACACCTGCATCTCCAGAAGAAGGACTTCAACCCACAGTCTAGTCATAATAAAACAGAGTCTTAAGTTCTTTATTTCATTAATGTTAAATAATCATTTGATCACTTTGCTCATTATAAATGTATTTTAATCAAATGAATGATTATTATGCGTTGAGTAATCATAATGAACTATAATGAATCAGTACTTAATTAAATAATGTTTTTGAAGATGTTTAGCGATGACCTTCACACCTGCTCACACAGGTCCGTATCCACAGTAACTCAAAACACATTTGCTCTGATGCACAACAAGTTTGCTTTGGGAAGAGAAGTGGTTTTGGGTAAGGAGTCTGAACGAGAGTGAGAACGAAAGAGAGAGGAAGTGCGGAACGAACGCCACGGGGAAAGAAGCCTGCCGGCTTCTTTTCTCCCACCATGCTATTTCTGTCAAGCTAGACAGAATAGCTGAAATGCAACCAGCTAACGCAGACTCGTCCCAGAGTCTTTTGATTTCTGAGTTAATTTAAACTTGAGAAAGCGCATCTGCTAAACGCTTCATCAACGTTTACCGAGGTCAACTCTGGACTGGACCGTCAGCACACCTTCGTCTTCTCTGTCAGCCAAGGTGGCATCTGGATAACACATCCTCCGAGGTCCGGATCTAAAAGAGGGTCCTGAGTACGGTGAGGCAGAACACGACCAGATAGCGTTCTGATGCTGTTTTTCTAATAAGAACTAAAGTTTAATTGCAAAACATCATTTTTCACTCAGTTCACCTTCACTCTCCCTGAAGAAATCTCAGACACCTGCATGCACGCATTCATAATTCCATCATCCTCAATCTTAGCACATCCAACACAAGGTCTATTTGTGCAAGTTCAACTCTTAAAGATTGTCCAACAAGGTTGCCAATGTTGATCATTTTTCCTATGATTGTCATTTCAAATCGTTAGTTTAAATTAAAGAATTAAAACTCTTAAAATTTAAACTTGTCTTTTCATTGAACTGAAACACAGACAAACGGATATGATCGTCAGTTTATCGATGAAAACAACCTTTGAGTCTTCTTATCTCTATAACATTTGGTTATTAATTTGCTAAAATTAATATTCCAGATTATTATGTAGAATGGTTCATCTTTCATAAAAGAGTCAACAACCATTACGCTACACCTTTAAGTTACATTCACTCAACTCTGCGGGCAGAAGCCTATCAAATCTGACTTTTTTGCTCTGACGGAACCCATTTCTGATTTGTTTCATGATGGTCTGATCAGCACGATCCCCACCCAGATCCCTAAATCGGATATTTCTGATGGTGACTTCAGTCTGAACGGTCCTGTCACGTTAAATCCGTCTCATACGTCACTGACTCGGTGGAGATGAGAATTACGTCTTTAAGTTCCTGAGGAGAGGCGCTGACGGAGGTATGAGGAGGTCTGTCGGGGGAGTTGTGAGGGTGAAGTGCTTCAGCACTCCACCTCTCCTGGTTCTGACTGCATCCACGTACACCTCTGCATGGAGGTAGCAGCAACAGCTCCATTAAAGCTAGAATGTGGCTTGTCCTTCTTTCGCTGTGCAGGAATGACCAAACTGTTGCACAAACATGAACATCTGTAGCGGCCATTTTTACTTCTGCAAACAAGCCGGGTCATGTGAAGTTCAGCTCATCTCTAAATGTTCCTCAGTCATGTCTAAAGTCTCCAGGCTCCCGATTAGACTATTTTCTAAAGGGGGATGTTAAAATCCTAAGAACCAGAGAGTGATCCTTCCATTTCCAGAGGTTAAACTTTGGAGTTATCAGCTCACGCTGAAGCAGACGGCCTCCTGAAGCGTTTGTAGTTTTGACATGGACCTTACCCTGAGCACCTCCCTGCAGATGTAGGCAATCCAGTCCTCTTTCAGACAGCTTCCTTTGGTCTTTTTCACCAAGTCTGTCACAGAGCCCGCTCCACAGTACTCCATCACCAACTGGAGGAGCACATGAGCAGATGTTCATCAGACGTATCACAAGAATACCCAGGAAGAAGTAGTAGTGTTTATTTTGTTGGAGATGACTCATCCTAAAGCAGAAAGGTTGACATACCCAGAGCTGGTGGTCCTGTCCAGCAGGACCTTTCTTAATGAAGGCACCATAGTAAGTAGCAATGTTCCTGTGGTGGGAGTAACTCTTCAGCATATTGATCTCCAGCTTGATCTCCTCTTCTTCTTCCTTAAAGAGACGAGACAACGATGACACTAAAGTCTAAAATCAGGTAAATATTCCAAAAATGTTTAGATTTGTGACACAGCTTTGGTTTCAGTAAACGGTAAAGACAGCTGGACCTGAGCTGGTAACCACGCCGGTCCACAAAACCCCACTCTCTCCTCTTGCTCCTTCATCCTTCACCTCTTTTACCACTCACCTAACAGAATGAAGACGACTGTTTGGGACTTTGTGGGATAGTGACAAACCTGGATAGCCGTGCTTGGGAGGCAGACGGTCCTCCGCCTAAAGAATTAGCTGGGTTAGGCGTGTTTAAATCTACATAATTAAACCCAAATAACCTAATAAGGGTTTTATAATCTCATTTGATCCCTGGAATAAAAACTACAGCTTTATTCTAATGTCTTCATCTTTAAATTGAGGCACCTTCTGAAAACGACCCTACGTTGGAGTTTTTAAACTCTAAAGTGAACAGATGTTTAATATCACCGAGATCTAATAAAAAACTACTTTTGTGTGAGTTACTGGTGAAGCTGTAAGTCGAGGAGGAGAGTCTTTGTTGCAATTGGATTTAGCTGAGACGGTGGTATATTACAGTACCCTCCTGTTTGATCCGTGTTGTGTGTGTGCACTTTGACAGGTGAATTAAGAGAGCTTCTCAAGTGGATTGTAAGAGCTTGAATCGCTTCGATGACCATGAGAGAGTGGAAGCAGAGCACACCGCACAGCCAGATGCTTGATGTAATATTAGCCTTTAAATCACTTCTAGGATTGCAAACATCAGAGAATGCTGCAATATTGTTTGAACTGATTTTGAGGAAAACTGTTTCAAGGGAAACGTTTGTCAAATAACATGATGGTTATATTTTATTTATTTTTTTAGGAGGAAAAGAACAGCTGCACTGCGACAGAAAAAGCACAAATGTAGTATGTTTACATATCTTGTTCTCACTGAAAGGAACATTTTGGTCATTTTGATGTTTGCGTCTACATAAAAGTTAGGATTTATCACTGAAATATCTCCTGTGAAAAGCCTCCATGATGGCCTCTGGTCAGGGCTGATAAGCTAAAGGCTAGTTAGAGCACAAATATAAACCTTTATAATATTATCACTGGTTATTTACAAGCATAGAAGCCATTAGAAACTAAATCCAGTGGGAAACCATTATCATTTAGGCTGAAATTACTGTGATGTCAACTGATTGAGGTGTAAAGGTGCATAAAACAATGTTCACCTAATCAAGACAAAATCAGATATGGGCGACGGTGGCACAGGAGTTAAGTGTTCGCCCCGTAATCAGAAGGTTGCAGGTTCGAGTCCTGCTCAGTCTTTCGCTGTCATTGTGTCCTTGGGCAAGACACTTAACCCCCCTTGCCTGCTGGTGGTTGTTGGAGGGTCCGCTGGCGCCAGTGCTCAGCAGCTTCGCCTCTGTCAGTGCGCCCCAGGGCAGCTGTGGCTACACTGTAGCTCATCACCACCAGCGTGTGAATGGGTGAATGACTGATTGTGTTATAAAGTGCCTTGGGGGGTTCCAGGACTCTAGAAGGCGCTACCATTTACCATTTACAAGCAGCTTGCATTGTAATGTACACACACGAACAATAAATATATAACAGAAGTACTCTTTCACTGTCCCGTAAACATGAACATAGTTGTTAAAAACAGTCAGTTTCAGTTCCAAAAAACCTAAAAATTAAATAAAAAATAACATCAAATTTTCACCACCTTCACGCAGCTGGGGGAGCTCGATTTAGACTTAACATGGAACACTTAGCAATGGCTGATATACCAACACACGTTCAGTGTGGGTCGTGCCCAAGATGGTTGTTCAGGTGTTTAAAGGTCAACTTCACGGAAAACCCATTTTTTAATCATTATAATCAGTCACTCTGAGTAAAACATGCAGGCTGAACATGAAAATAGTCTCCTACATGTATCTCCTGCATTAGCTTCTGAAACTCTAGGATTAGAAAAGCCTGACAGATCCACGTCACACTGTCACTTAACATTCATGGACTCACCCATCTGGACTCACGACGGGGAAGGTTGTTGTTGGTTTAGCGTCCAGGAAACAGCAGAGAACGTCTCGGCTAGTAGAAGCTAACCATTAGCATTAGCAACGCCATCACACAGCAGAACTCCTCCAGACTTGTGTTATTCATGGAGATAAAACATCAACATTGCAAACAGGGCACCAGTGCTTCATTTCCCCAGAGAGAATTCTTTTGAGCTAATTCTCTTCCAATGTTAGTCAAACGTCGACTCGGGACAGATTCTTTTGTGTTTCAATCATAACTTCAAAAGGCATTAATCTCTCTTAGGATCTGTGCATTTCCTCCAATTCAGAATAAACCCCAACCACCGAGTTCCACCCTGCTTTGACTTTACTTGACAGAGTGATTAGTTTTGGAAGTGCAACATTTATTTACACCTAATATTACTGTCAGTTAGGCTCTATGGCAAAGTCCAATAATTAGCTTCAAAGCATGTGATAGCACCATCTAGACCAGGGGTGTCAAACTCATTTTAGCTCAGGGGCCACATTGAGGGAAATATAGTCCCAAGTGGGCCAGACCGGTAAATAAAAAAAAAAACAACTTCAGATTGTTTTCTTTGTTTTAATACAATCAATATAAAACAAGGCTGGAGCCTGAGGACAGTGTAGTACAAGTACAACACCTGAAGTGTACTTGAAAATTTGAAAAAAAAAATAAATACATCAACAAATAAAAAAAACATTCCTTAGTGATTCAAAGAGCTTACAGATCACATGACAAGATCAGTTTCATGTAGCACTTAAAGTATATTTGACTCATTTTACTTCACATCTTTTAGCTTTCACCAGCACATCAATATCAGAAGTCACATCCTGAGTGGCGGCCAACTTCAGGATGTGATTCAAGTTCTTGTGTGAGCCTTAAGCGCAGCTTTGTTTTATTTATACTCATTACAGAGAAAACTTGCTCACAATGATAAGTTTATTTTCACTCTACATTGTAAAGTATGGAAATAAAGTTTTCACAACCATCTCGCGGGCCGGATTTAACCCGCTTGCGGGCCGGATCCGGCCCGCGGGCCGCATATTTGACACCCCTGTTCTAGACTGACATCATCAGACTTCTGCATAGCTGATGTTGCTTCTCTACTCTGGTCTCGTGTGGAAACATGCTCTCGTTCTTTTGTTTTTAAAAATGGGACCTAAGCCTCCCTGCTTGACACTCAGCTTTAAGGGGTTGGATTTTTTTTGGGGGGGTGGGGGGGGGGGGGTGGGGGGGGTGTTAAACCACCAAATAGTTCCAGAGCAGCAGATCATCTGTGAAACACTATCAGTCTCTTCCAGCAGGTATGATGGACTCTGGTCCTTTTTCCTTCACAACGTCTCTATCAGGTTCTGGTCTGGACCGAACCGATGCAGAACCTTGATTCTGATCTTTTTCAGTGGTTTTGTTGTAGATCTGCTGCTGTGTCTGGATCACAGTTCTGGTTATGACTCAGTCTGGTCCAATCTCAGACTCTAGAAGACTTTGGTCTCCAGACGAGTTCCTCCTGCAGCCCAAACCATCAGCCCTTCACCACCGTGCTGACAACTGTTATCAGGAGATGTGCATTGTGGGTAATCACGTATTCTTTAGTCTCATGTTCCGGTGGACATCGTTCCAGAAATCTTGTGGTTTGTTCAGAAGAAACTTTACAAACCAAAGTCCTTCTGCCTTGTTGTTTCTAGAGAGACCAGGTTTTATGCAGCTCTTCCAAACATCCCAAACATGTTCAGTCTTTTCCTTCCTGTCCTCTCATGAACTTTGACCTGCGACCTTACAGAGTCTGAGACAGCAGAGTTGACATTTCTCTAAGCATGGCACGGTCTGACCTTAGGGTCCACTGAAGCCAAATGCAACAGCGGTCATTGCTGATGTCTTCCCTCCCAAACATTGTGTTAACACACACCTGTCTGCTCCAGAGCAGCAAACTGCTTCTATAAAGGTAGTCCCACTGATGCTATGGACTATACTATTGCACGTATGTTTTTTGTTCTAATACCTACAATCCAACTTTATATTTAACACACACTTGAACCAAATAAAAATGAAATGATGTCCATTTACCTCTGTAACCTCCATGACTTTGATGGCTGCCAGCTGACCGGTCTTGACATGGCGACCCTGGTGGCAAACGTAAAGCCAGAGTTAAAATCACATCCGATTCAACTGAATGAGCCTCCCACAAGACCCTCCAGGGGAGATGGTGAGAAAAGTCAGAACTGAGACATTTCACTGCCATCCCACCTTAAAAAAAACTAATTATGAAAGAAAACGTAAAACCAAACGTGTTCTTCTGTCACGGGCATTACAACACCTTCTGTTGGAACACTCAGCTCGTGATATAATTGTGAGGACAGGGTCATGTCTGCCTCATTTATTTTTGAGAGGTACATTCGGATGGAACAGTACGTGATGCGAGATGAAAGAGAAAGTGAAGGAGGGAGCGCGTAGCGGGCAGTCAGGTGAAAAGGAGAAAATTTAAGACCTTGTTATGAGTCAGAAAGTTAGAGTATCTACTCCATCTGTGCTGTATGGCGAGCTTTTAAGTTTGTGCACCTGAGAGCCATTTAGCTAATATCTCAGAAAACGCAGTGAGAGCTTTGACATACCCTAACATGCCGCTCCAAAGTAACGGGAACCACTGAACCAGTGTCCAAGAGAGAAGCCATGGAGGACAACAGAGTGTCCACATTCATTATGTCCTCTTAAAAAATGTCTGCAGGACAAGTTCCAACATCTAAATTCCACAACGCATCCTGTTGTCCTGTGATCGGAGTCATCAGTAGTCAGCTAAGGATCACCGCAACGTGTTTTCTAACATAAGCCTAACATGTAGCAGAAGAATAAGTAACGCTAGCAAAAACTTGACTATTTTATTATTATTAGTAATCAAAACATATTCCTGTGTGGGAGGAAGAGGATTTATTATTATTATTATTATTGTTATTGTTATTATTATCTATCCATCTATTTTCAGCCGCTTATCCGGGGTCAGGTCGCAGGGGCAACAGCCTAAACCGAGACCCCCAGACTTCCCTCTCCCCAACTACTTGGGCCAGCTCCTTCGGGGGAATCCCAAGGCGTTCCCTGGCCAGCTGAAAGACAAAGCCCCTCCAGCATGTCCTGGGTCTTTCCTTGGGTCTCCTCCTAGTTGGACATGGAAAACCTCACCAGGGAGGCGTCCAGGAGGCATCCTGACCAGATGCCCAAGCCACCTCAACTGGCTCCTCTCAATGTGGAGGAGCAGCAGGTCTACTCAGAGCCCCTCCCGAATGACCGAGCTTCTCACCCTATCTCTAAGGGAGAGCCCGGCCACTCTGCAGAGAAAACAAGTTTTGGCCGCTTGTATCCACAATCTCGTTCTTTCTATCTAGGGATGGGTACCTTTGACATTTGAATCAATCCGGTACTAATTCCCAATACCTACGAATCGATACCAGTACTTAACGGTACCAATTTTTGATACTTTTGAGTGTTTATTATTTTAATTTTCTTTTATAATTAAATATATATTTTTCTCAATATATAACAATATTTGATAAACATCACGATAAATAACATTCAACTGTTTGTATTTTAACATTGTCCTTGTAGTTTTATAAGCTGATAATTAAACTGAAGCAAACATCTTTACTGTGAACTAAATTTACTGTGTATCTTCATTCCTTTTGCCGTCCTTTTTCATTTGATTTTTCCTACTGGGAAGTTAGAATTTCCGAGGAGAAAGCGAACGCACCATTAGCTGATAACAATGGTGGCAATGGAAGCCAATTTATCAAGCTAATGTTATCTTAAACAGTTTATTTAACTGCTGGAGCAGATTAACACGATGATGCCTCACACTTAGATCGTTGTCACTGGTTTCATCTTCACCCAATCACCCGTCGCATTTAGTAAAGTGAAGCCAAATTTTAGAGCGCATTCATGTTCTTCTAGTCGGAAATTCGGAGTTCCGAGGAGAAAGCGAACGCACCATTAGCGAAACGGAAGCTAACATATCAAGCTAACGTTATCTGAAACATTTTATTTACCTACCGGAGCAGATTAAGATGAGGATGTCTCACTTAGATCGTTGTCGCTGGTTTCATCATCACTCAGTTACCCATCACATTTAGTGAAGTGGACCCAAGCTTTAGCGTGCGTTCTTTCTACAATGCTGCTCTGTTTACAACTGGCTCGCAGCGAGCGACGACATAACGCTCTTGCGCATGCGCAGCTGTCTAGGCAAGTTCTCGTTATGAAGGACGGGTACCGAAACGAGGCACCGTTTGAAATGACGTGAATCTGTGCTCGGTCGGTACTATGGAATTCGGTCGGTACCTTAAAAAGTACCGAATTCGGTACCCAATGCTATTTCCATCACTACCCAAAGCTCGTGACCATAGGTGAGGGTAGGAACATAGATCGACCAGGCGTCCAGGAGGCATCCTGACCAGATGCCCGAGCCTTCTCAACTGGCTCCTCTCAACATGTAGGGGCAGCAAATCTACTCCGAGCCCCTCCCGAATGACCGAGCTTCTTACCCTATCTCTAAGGGAGAGCCCAGCCACTCTGCAGAGAAAAGTAATTGTGGCCGCTTGTATCCACAATCTCGTTCTTTCTATCACTACCCAAAGCTCGTGACCATAGGTGAGGGTAGGAACATAGATTGACCGGTAAATCGAGAGCTTCGCCTTCTGACTCAGCTCTCTCTTCACCACGACAGACCGGTACAACGCCCGCATCACTGCAGATGCAGCACCAATCTGCCTATCGATCTCACGCTCCATCTATCCCTCACTTGTGAACAAGACCCCAAAATACTTAAACTCCTCCACTAGAGGCAGGACCCCATCCCTAACCTGGAGAAGGCATTCTACCCTTTTCCGACTCAAGACCATGGTCTCAGATTTGGAGGAGCCGATTCTTATTCCAGCCGCTTCACACTCGGCTGCAAACCGCTTCAGCGAAAGCCGGAGATCACTGTCCGATGAAGTCAACAGGACCACATCATCTGCAAAAAGCAGAGACCTGATCCTCAGGCCACCAAAATGGATGCCCTCCACACCTTGGCTGCGCCTAGAAATCCTGTCCATAAGGGTTATGAACAGAATCGGTGACAAAGGGCAGCCTTGGTGGAGGCCAGCTTTCACTGGGAACGAGCCCGACTTACTGCCGGCAACGCGGACCAAGCTCTGACACCGGTCATGCAGGGACCCAACAGCCCATATCAGAGGGCCCCACAGGGCCTCCCGGGGGAAGTGGTCAAACGCCTTCTCCAAATCCACAAAACACATGTAGATTTTATGGGTGAACTCTCACACACCCTCCACGATCCTCCTAAGAGTATAGAGGAGGTCCAGTGTTCCACGGCCAGGATGAAAACCACATTGCTTCTCCTGAGTCTGAGGTTCGACAATCCGATGGACCCTCCTCTCCAGAACCCCTGAATAGACCTTACCAGGGAGGCTCAGAAGTGTGATCCCTCTGTAGTTGGAACACACCCTGCGGTCCCCCTTTTTTTGAAGTGGCTTTTGCGATACTGCAAAGCCACATCAACCAACACAGTGCAACAACATCCAGAGCCTTAAGGAACTCCAGGCGGATTATTATTATTATTATTATTATTACACCATGAGCTGAACTCAACAATCTGATTAATTTTCTAAAAACACAAAAGACCCATTACTCTCAAATATTGTTCACAGATCTGTGTGAATCTGTGTTAGTGAGCACTTCTCCTTTGCAGAGCTAATCCATCCCACCTCACAGGTGTGGCGTATCAAGGTGCTGATTAGACAGCATGAATTTTGAACAGGTGTGCCTTAGGTTGTTCCTCTGAAATGTGCAGTTTGATCAAACAGCACGATGCAACAGATGCCACAACTTCTGAGGGAACGTGTAATCGGCACACTGATGGCAGGAATGTCTACCAGAGTGATCGCACGTGACATTAATGTTCATTTCTCCACCATAAGCCGTCTCCAAAAGCATTTCAGAGAATTCAGCATGCACATCCAACCGACCTCACAACTACAGACCTCTTGTAACCACACCAGCCCAGGACCTCCACGTCCAACATGTTCACCTCCATGAAGGTCTGAGCCCAGTCACTCGAACAGCTGCAGTAACAATTGTTTTGCATAACCAAAGAATTACTGCACAAACTGTCAGAAAACTCAGGGACGCTGATCTGCGTACTCATGGTCCTCATCTGGGTCTGGACCTGCAGGTCATCACTGTAATCGACTCGAGTGGGCAAATGCTCACATTCAATGGCATCTGGCATGTTGGTTTCATGGATGAATCCTGGATTTCACTGATCATGCACCATGCCACTATTCTCAGATCATCTCTAACTAGTTTCTAGGACATGACCACGAGTTCACTGGACTCCAACGGCCTCCACAGTCACTAGATCTCAAACCAGTGCAGAACCTTTGGAATGTGGAGGAACAGGGAGGTTCGCATCATGGATGGAGCTGACGATGTCATGTCAGTCTAGACCAGAACCTCTGAGGAACACTTTCAACATCTTGTTGGATCAGTGAAATAAAAAATGAAGGAGGTTCTGCAGGTAGGAGGGGTACAACCAGGCACTAGCAAAGGCTATCTGGAAATTAAAATGTTGTTTTAATAAACTATATTTAATAATACCAAACTTGTTTCCATCATCAACCAGGAGCTGCCTCACAGGAAATAAAACTAAAACTACAGGAAATCCTAAAATGCATTCATGCTGCTGAGCAGAGAGATCAGAGGGGTCTCACGTCTTTAGAAGAACCAGATTAACACATCAGGAGTTTGGTTGAAAGGACAAATAAAACATTAATGTGGATTCTAATGAAACACATTAGAGTAATACCAGAACGGACACTAGCAGAGATGTTTCTAATATCCTTCACTGCTAGAGAAAAACTACATGAAGGTTCGATAAAAGGCTTGCTGCACTCCGGCCTTGTCCTGGTCCCCGAGAGTAGGACCACCACAAACACTACGTGTTCTACCTATCACCAACACACACACACACGCACGCACGCACGCACGCACGCACGCACACACACACACACACACACACACACACACACACACACACACACACACACACACACACACACACACACACACACACACACAGCCAG